CCTTTAGATCAGCGGTCCCCAACCTTTTTTGCGCCACGGAACGGTTTATGCCCGACAATATTTTCACGGACCGGCCTTTAAGGTATCGCGGATAAATACAACAAAGTAAAACCAGTACCGGTACCGAAAAAAAGAAGATTTTTTCATAACACACGTGAAAAGACCCAGGAAAACCGAGTTAACGATAAAAACGATAACAAAATAACGCTAAAAACCGATAAAAACCCTGAAAACCATACATTTCACACCTGAGCCTCAACTCTCGCGGCCCGGTACCAAATGACTCACGGACCGGTACCAGTCCGAGGCCCTGGGGTTGGGGACCGCTGCTTTAGATGTTTGAGGTCTTCATCATTCCTTTCTTAAATGGATCCCAGCCACCTTAGAGAGGAAACTTATTTTGATTGCTTGTATCTGCAACACTATTCTTCAGAGCACTAGCTACATAGCTTGCCAAAGGTGTGGGTAAAGTGCTTTCTGGCTCAGCTCTCTCTTTACCGCAGTGGTCAATTGCAACACAAGGGCAACCAGTCTGCCAATTCTGCTCCTCCTCTACTTTTATGAGCAAAACCATAAGATACTTCAAATCACTCGCTTGGGAAGGCAACTATCACCCAACCCAAAGGGTCCTTTTTTGGCAGAGAACTATGGCCTCAGACTTGGAGGGGCTCAAGATGTTCGAATGACACCAAGAAAATTACTTTCAATTCTACAATTGAATCTGAGGTTCACAAAATGGACACCCTCCACCGTGTGGATATTTCTTTAAGACACTCTGGTTCACCCGGCCACACCCCACAGCTCACGTATAAAACAGCTATGCAGACGTGACACCGGTGATCATTTGATCTCCACTTGTGTTGTGTGTTTGTGAGTGCCTTGAGAGTGCTGTATGTATGTGCATCCATCAGGAGCCTGTTTTGCAGCCTCCGTGGGCGCTGCCTCTCCCCCGGTATTCCCCTGGTATTCCCCGGTATTCCCCTGATATTCCCCGGTATTTCCTTAGTATGCCCTGTTATCCCTTAGCTTGCCCTTATCTTTCCCGTTGGTTGGTCTCCCCTCCCTGGCTTATCGCCTCGAAAAATAGTCTTATGCACCAGCTGGACCACGCTGTGCGGCTGCCGGCTAGCGAGTAGCTCGGCTACGGTGAGCAAACACAGCAGGGACACGGCCTCAGCATTCAAGCATACGCTGTCGCCTGGGCACTGTGGGGGAATTAGGCTGTGGTTCGTGCCGGCCGGCGTTTAGCATTCCAGCCTGTTAGCCTGTCTGGCATATCGCCCGCAGCTCGCGGGTTAACCCGGCTAGCAGGGCTCCGCTCATAGTTCGGCTACATTGGGGAAAGGTGTCAGAGTTCCAAGCATACACTTTCACCTTTCAGCACTGTGACGCAGAAGCAAATAAACAGTGGAAGGGGAATTCCGGTTGCGGCTAGTGCCAGCTACCTGTTAACACTTCCTGGTTAGCATGTGGCCCCGCTCCCTTGCTTGGTAGCAGAAGTATGGCAGCCCACACGTCCCATGTCTGTGTATGGCATTTTTGCCTTTTGACGATAGGAACGAGCAGTGTTAACTACATGAATGGTAAATGGTAAATGG